GACCTCGTGTTCTGCCCACCTCGGTCTCCCAAAGTGCTAGGCTTACAGGCATGAGCACCACACCCGGCCTGATTTTTTCTTTTTTAGGTGACTGCCCTTGGAGCTCAGAGCTGGGGAAGGTGCTCCATAGGCAGGTTTGAGCCCCAATCCCAGTAGGCAGGAGGCCTGTAGAAGCCGCAGCACACACACAGCCCCCTGCAGATGCACTTTGTGATGGAGGATACCCAGGATAGACTTTTTATTTTTAATTTATTTTATTAATTATTAATTATTATTATTAATTTTTTTTCAGAGGGAGACTTGCTCTGTCACCCAGGCTGGTGTGCAGTGGTGTGATCTTGGCTCACTGCAACCTCTGCCTCCCGAGTTCAAGCGATTCTCCTTCCTCAGCCTCCCAAGTAGCTGGGATTACAGGCACATGCCACCATGCCTGGTTAATTTTTGTATTTTTAGTAGCGATGGGGTTTTGCAATGTTGGCCAGGCTGGTCTCAAACTCCTGACTTCAGGTGATCCACCTGCCTCGGCTGCCCAAGTTGCTGGGATTACAGGCGTGAGCCACTGCTCCTGGTCCTAGGAAAGACTTTTTTTTTTTTTTTTTAATTCTCTCCCGATTATGTTCAGTCTCGGGAAAGACTTTTTAAGAAGCTTTAGGCCAAGCGTGGTGGCTCATGCCTGTAATCCAAGGCCGAGGTGGGTGGATCACGAGGTCAGAAGTTCAAGACCAGCTTGGCCAAGATGGTGAAACTAATCATCTAACAATACTAAATAATTGTATTTTTCGTCTCTACTAAAAATACAAAAATTAGCTGAGTATGGTGGCGTGCACCCGTAATCCCAGCTATTCAGGAAGCTGAGGTAGGAGAATCGCTTGAACCTGGGAGGCGGAGGTTGCAGTGAGCTGAGATTGTGCCATTGCACTCCAGCCTGGGTGACAGAGCTCACACCTGTGTATCCAAGGAGCTCACACCTGTGCACTGGGAAGTTGTTTAAGCCTAAAGGGAAATGATAAACTAAAAAAAAAACAAACAGCGATCTCTGTACATGGAAGACAAGCGTTTACAAAATGGAATTGGTGGCCCCACAAGCTGGATGAAATGTCTAGTTCTAGCCATCAGTGTCTTCCATGTAGAATGAGGATTGGGGCTGATGCTGAGCAGTGGATTTTCTTCATGCTCAAGTAGTGCGAGATGGTGTATGGGAAGCCGTGCGGGAAATACGTTTCCTAAGAGGAAGTTTGTGTGGTCCGAGTTGGATATAAAATGTGTGAGGTGGGTGAAAGAAAGAGTCCCAGATTCCTTTTGTTTTTTGAGACAGAGTGTCGCTTTCTCGCCCAAGGCTGGAGTGCAATGGCGTGATCTGGGCTCACTGCAACCTCTGCCTCCTGGGTTCAAGTAGCTGAGATTATAGGCGTGAGTCAGCACGACCGGCCAGATTCCTTCTTTAAAGCCGAATGCTGGCAAAAGGGAGGGACCGAAAATGAAAGAGACATGAGGACATCCATCCCTAGCAGTGCCACATCTACACTTTGCTTTTAATGGATGCTCTGCTTTTATACTTAATATTTGCTTAAACTTAGCTATCCTAGTAAAGGATTAGAAAACATATCTAAGCTAGAGTGTCATAAAAAACTTTACACTTGTTTGGAAAAGGCTAGGGCATAACCGCTGCCACCCAGCCATGTGCCCTAAAAGCAAGGAGGGGTTTGTGACGCAGAAGCATCCCCTCTAGAGCCAAAGCTTCAACAGGGACCACCACAGCCTGGCTGCCAAGTGAGGGCAGAGCCATTTAATCGTTTGCTTGGTCTTTCTCTAGAGGCTGCCTTGGCTCCATTGGGAAACAGGGATAGGGCGGTCTAGAATTTTACTTCCTACTCACCACAGTTGGAGTGAGCAGCTTACCATTTTTGTTACCCAAATATTAAGCATGCTTAAGGGAAATATTGACAACAGTAAGTTTACCTTTTTCCTTTAGACTTCAACAACTTTCTGGTACACGGGTGTGGGCTCCTTGCATACGGCTACACTGCCTTCCCCTTTGACCCACTCATATCTCTCTCTCTCTTTTTTTTTTTGAGACAGAGTCTCGCTCTGTTGCCAGGCTGGAGTGCAGTGGTGTGATCTTGGCTCACTGCAGCCTCCACCTCCCAGGTTCAAGTGATTCTCCCGCCTTAGCCTCCCAAGTGGCTGGGATTACAGGCGCACGCCACGACGCCCAGCTAATTTTTGTATTTTTAGTAGAGAGGGGGTTTCACCATGTTGGTCAGGCTGGTCTCGAACTCCTGACCTCAGGTGATCCTCCCACCCCAGCCTCTCAAAGTGCTGACATTGCTGAGATGACATACACGAGCCCGCACGCCGGCCTGGACCACTGGTAGGTACCTCACTGGTGTGCAGGGTCCACCTCCCTCTCCGTTTCCACACCGTGTGATTCCTGTCCGTGCATTTGTCACAAAAATCACAAAATGCATGATGGGAGAATTCTGAAGCTTTGTCCAAATGTGTTGCATGGATTTTATGTAGTTTACATTTTAGCTGAGTTGAATTGAATCTGAGTTGAAGTGTCGGCCACATTCAGAGTTTTGTTTTTATTACTGGAGTTCTGAGAGGTGCTGAATTTGGAGAGCAGAAAGGTGGGTTGGGGGTCAGATGAAGGTAGGCCGAGGGTTTTTTTATTCACCCGATGATTCATTGACCACCCACTCTGTGCCTGGCATCATAATAGATGCCCTGCAAACAGATGAAAGGCAGATACCTGCAAGAATTTTAGGGGTTTGTGGGGAAGGAAAAGAAGGGAAGCAATGGTGACAGTGTAGCCTCATGAGAACGATGCACAAGGTACTGGGAACCGAGACCAGGGCCGCCTGCCTCGGTCAGGAGCATTAGGGTAAGCTCCCCAGAGAGGGGACTCAGGCTCGTTCTTAAAGGGCATTTTGGAGACACGGCTGAAGGTCTGAAAGACGGAGGGGACGCTTGAAGGAGAAAAGGCCCTGGGGAGAGAGGAAAGGACGGGGGAAGCATCCCTATGGCTGAAGGGATCTGAGGCAGCAAGGCAGATGCATAGGGACTGGAGGAGGGGCTGGGGGCGCCTCTGTGTTACCTGGGGAGTAGAGGTATCATGAGAGTGGGGCTCAGGGCCTGGGGAGAGTGGTGTTTCCCATTAGCCACAGAAGTTCTGCTGGCACAGAAAGCCTGGCGGGATTGGAAGGCACTTGTTTGCAGGGCTTGGTGGTCCTCCCCAGCGGCCCTCAGGGCAGAGGTGGACGGCAGAATCAGTGAGCCATTGTGTGGGGGGTGTGGCCGAGGCAGCGAGCTGAGGGTGTGGGGGAGAAGATGGGTGGAGGGAAGGGCTGTGGCGTTTAGTCTGGCCAAACCAGAGGCACAGAAGACCGTGGGCTTGGAACCCAGAGCTCCCAGACTTGAAAATACTGGACATGGAAGCCAGACTGATTGCTGGGTGGAGAAACCAGGCCCCTGTGCATTGCTGGTGGAATGTGAAATGGTACGGCTGCTGTGGGGAACAGAATGACGGGGCCTCAGAGTTAATCTTAAAATTGCTGAGGATCCAGCAATTCCCTTGTGAGTCCACGCCTGGAAGAACTGAAAGTGGGGATTTGAACAGATCTTTTGCACACCAGTGTTCATAGCAGCATTTGCACAACAGCCAAAAGGTGGAAGCAACTCAAATGTCCATCAACAGATCAGCAAAATGTGGTCTCTCCATACAATGGAATATTATTCAACCATGAAAAGGAATGGAATTCTCACGTATGGCTATAACGTGGATGAACCTTAAAAACATTATGCTAAGTGGGCCAGGCGCAGTGGCTCATGCCTGTAATCCCAGCATTTTGGGAGGCCAAGGCGGGCAGATCACCTGAGGTCAGGAGTTTGAGACCAGCCTGGCCAACATGTTTGGCGAAAACTTGTCTGTATTCAAAAATACAAAAATTAGCCAGGTGTGGTGGTGGGCACCTGTAATCAATCCCAGTTACTTTGGAGGCTGAGGCAGGAGAGTCGCTTGAACCTGGAAGGTGGAGGTTGCAGTGAGCTGAGATCACGCCATTGCACTCCAGCCTGGGTGACAGAGCAAGACCCTGTCTCAAAAACAAAACAAAACAAAACAAAACAAAACAAAACAAAACAAAACAAAACATTATGCTAAGTGAGGTAAGCCAGACACAAAAGGACAAATATATGATTCTACTTACACATAATATCTAGAATAGGCAAATTCATGGAGACAGAGTAGAAGCAAGGATGGTCACCAGGCGCTGTGTAGAGGGAGGAATGGGGAGTTCTTAATGGAGATGGAACTTGTGTTTGGGATGATGAAACGATTCTGGAAATAGGTAGTGATGATGGCTATACAATAACGTGAATGTCATTAACGTCGCTAGTAGTCCACTTAAAAATGTTAAAATGATAATTTTATGTGATGTATATTTTACCATAATTTAAGACAAAAAGAGTGTCAGAAGGCTGGGAAACCCTGATCCCAGCAGGATGTGGAGTTTCTTAGGCTTGCTGAAGTGGTGCTGCTGTGGGCACATGGTCTGGACAGGGCTGTGGAGCACACAGCTCAAGTGGGGAGTGACAAGGGCCCTGGCGATGGGCCAGTGAGCCATGAGGCTGCGGGTGTTGATGACGTCCGGTGAGAGGGCAGGGCCTGGTGTGGAGGATCCAGGATGCATGTTGGAAAGCTCCCAGGACAGCAGGTGACAGCCACACCTTAGGTGTCAGAGACAGAGACTGGGAGCAGGTGGGGCTGACACAGCTTGGAAGAGGCAGCCAGAAGCCGGGAGACTCTTAGCCCTGCTCAGGGGAATTGGTAGTAGCATGCTCTCAAGGCCCTCCCTCTCTCTGCAAATTTTCAATGCAGTGGTGGTTTCTACACATTTCCAGAGGCATTAAATAATCCCAAAATATGTTACTTGTAACAGTCACCTCTTCCCTCTGATGATGGGTCTGGTTCCAGGATGAATAAACATGCCAGGCAGGTGTACAGTGATTTCAAACAGTTTAATGTAATTCCAAGACAAAGTGTGATTACATTTCTACACATATACAATATGCATATGTGAGTTTACAAATTTTAATTAATAAGTCGTTTCACCTCAGAGACCGAAAAAATGATCAAAAAGAAACTGTGAGTAACAAGCTATAACATAGTTCACCACAACGGGACCCCCCTTTTTCTCACCCTACAGTTAGTAATATTACAATTAAAATAACTATATTCTTCTATAATTTTTTTCTGTTAAAATCATCTCATAAATTTACAATGCTATTATTAGTTTCCAAGACTAATATAAATTCACTCCATTTTTCTACAACGAAAATGATTAATTTAGAAGCACACGACATCATGATGAAAAACACAAGCATTTTAGTAGCAAGGACTTGATCAGTTAAGAATTAGTTTTCTTGTAAAACATTCTAAAGCCAAGTAAAATATCCATTCTTATAACATACCTATAATATGAGACTAAGGAATAGGTTACATATAGGTCTACAACACATTGGTTTGTCTTTTAAAAAAAAGTAGACATTTATAAATAAAAAAGAGGGACAATTCACATAGGAAAAAGAGGTACACGAGAAAATACTGTCGCACGCAATAATTTTCACATAGATTAACATGGATTAACACTTTTTATTACAGAAACCATACCGTGAAGGAACACAACAGACCAGGGCTTTCATAGGGTTATTGAGATTGAGCTGAGATGACCTGGGAGAGAAAGATCTAGGTGAGATGACCGTGGGGAGGGAGCCACGTTCCTTGGACCTAGTGACAGCGTGTCACCAGGTCTCCTCTTCCCTGTTCTCATTTTGGGGAGTGAGTCTTTCTATCCAGTGTCCTGAATTCATGGGCAGTTGAAAGGTAAACATTTCTACAGATCCGTTCTCTTTCCATCCTAATGGATACCATTTTTGGAAATGTGATAGTGTATCAGAGGCTACAGCTCAATACATGTGGTCAAAGCAAAATGGGATGGAAAATTTCAGTCATCCTGATTTGTTGCCCCCCTCACCCAGCGATGCCCTTGAAGCTGGGACCCAGTGAGAGCAGCGGCACCCTGCAGGGCCCGCCAGCTCTGCTGCGGTGAGGTGGATGACAAGGGTCCGGCGCCATGCCTCAGCCCCATGTGTGCGGAGTGGCCTGGGACACGGCCCACGCGTGTCCAAGACACCAGTGCTGACTCCGACCTCTAAAGAGCTCTTCCTTCTCCTTATCCGTAAAGCTATACTTCTCCTATCAAATTTGGTTTGATATATATACACAAACATATATATCAACATCTATCTCTATACAGTGATTCTACTAAACTAGAAATTCTGCTGCCCCAAAGTATGACTTTCTTGTTCATTTGGTTAAAAGAATGTACACAAAGAGGATGAAGAGATGATTTGGGGACCAGAGATGATTGTGCCCTGGGAAGTCCATGGAAGAAGCTTGAAGTGAGCAGGAACACAAAAAGGAGGGGAGCAGAAACAGGGGACCAAGGACTCGGGCAGCGCAGACAGGAATATCTGCTCCGGGGCAGGGTGGTGGGGCGGGGTCTTTCCCATTCATTAGTTACAGGAAGCTACCAAGGATGCGCATGGTCAAACCACTTTCTACTTCCCAAGTTCCTCCTTATAACCTGAGCCAAACAATTTCCACAATGACAATCCATTGCCCCTTCAGCCCAGCAGGCGGCTCTGACAGGGAGGTTCGGCCACCAGCCTCAAGGCTGAGTAGGGCCTTCTTGTGGGCTCTCGTGCTTCCTGGGAGTCTTGGGTGCCTGGGGCTGTGGTGACAGCAGGTTGAGGCAGAGGTGGCCCTTGGGACAGTGACTCTACATAAGGAAGGGGGCAGTGCCATGAGAGATTCATGTGGAGATTGGTTACAAAGAAGCCAGGGAGAGCAGAGGCACAGCCCTTTTCAGATACAACATACTTACTTTTCAAATGAACAAAAAGGCAATTTCTATGTTTTAAAAATATAAGCCCCAAAGACAATGACACAGAATTCATTTGGTTAATTCATGTAAAGGAAAAACACCACCACCACCACCAGCACACCAACAGGGAAGTGGGAGTATGATTAGGAGGGGTGAGATGGAAACTATTTTACAGAAACATTTCTACCAAAAGACTGTCGAAAGAACACGCTGTCGATGCCATTCACAGGGAAAAAGCAAATGCATTGTTTTCTGTATTCTTTAGAAGCTCCCTGGTCCCGGGTGTTCTGCAGTTTTCAAGGTCTTATCTGCTAAAGCAATGCCCTTTAGGTCACAGCAGTTCCCCTGCAGTTTGGTGGTGGCACAAGAGAAAACATAAAACAAACCAAGACTCAGAGAAACTGCCATTCCCCGAGTCTGTTCCTGCGTGACAGTGGGGCCCATTCCCGTCTCGAAGCATCTCTCTTGTTCCAAACATGGTGTCCCTTTACAGTGGGTCTCAGTGGACCAGGCTGAGCCACCCCTCTGTCTCCACCTCCTTCTGCTGCTCAGCACTGACCATCTCTGAGAGGATGATAAGGTCTCCCTTCCACCCAACTAGGCTTCGAGTCTAAGCTGGACAATGAGTAAAACATAAACACAGCCTTTTACATTGATTTTGCTTTCAAGGGGAAAATGAATAAATGACAGCAGATATATGGAAAACCCAACCAGTGACCATGGGAATAGGGGTGTATGGTCCTCCCCTACAAAACGCTGATCAAAATATCACCCGGGGCCCAGAAGTAGCAGCTGTGCCTTCGTGGTCACCTGAATCCCAGTGTCTTCTACTGCCTGGTGCCTGGAAATCAGTGGATCTATTAATAAGTTAAATATTCAATCAAGACAAAAATCAATGAACCAGGTTATCTGTTCTTAATGACTCTTCCAAGATGTCAGAGAGAAGGCCTTGAACACAAGTGTTTATACCACGTGCATGAGAGCTTCGCACTTGGCCAGGCTGCGGACTCACACCTTCTCCCTCCATCTGGATTGCCTTTCACATTCTCTCGAGTTCACATGGAAACCAAAAATATGGAGGGAAGTTACACGCTGGGCTACAGAAGAGTCTGGACAACACACCCGCCTTGGGGGAGACACGGCGTCCAACTAAGAGGCATTCGCTGGGGTTTGAAGATGTCAGTTATAAACAGAACTTTTCTTTAAAAAGTACCAGTTTAAATGTAAACTATAAAACACTTTAACTATAATGTAGCCAGAAATATGCTTAAGTATCCACAGTCAATTGTTTAGTTTACTCATTTAAAATGTGACTCTCTTGATATCTTAGAAGGCTAACAGCATTTTACAGTAGCTAAAAACATATATACTTAACATGTGCATTTGAACATCACATTTGAGTACAACACACAAAGAATAATCTCTTCCTTGGTTTAATTTTTGTTGTAAAGATGAGCTATTTTCAGAATTCACTTAAGCAACGATCACTGGGGTATGAAATAATCATTATTTTCAGCCCACAGAGAATTCATAGTCTTTAAATTCCAAGATCAAGCTGGCTACATGATTTCAAAAAAGGCTAAAACCAGGATGAATGCCCACATTTGAGGTAATTATTGCCATTAGGTCACAGTTTGTGTAAGATAATGTATCTAAAACCTTCTAAAAAAAAAAAATCTTTAGGTGTTCTGCCAGAATTCCAGAATACCTATTGAAACCAACCAGGATCTCAAACTCTGATTAGTTGGGTTTGCTTCCAATGGAGTTAAAGTTCTAAAAGATTCTAGAACTCGTGTAAACTACCTAAGAATTTAGGCAAACAAGCCTGGAGCCAGTCAACAAAGAAGGTTTTAAATGAAAAAAGCAACAATCCCACTCAAAACAACCAAACAAATATTTCATAACAAATGATAATAGTTCTTTTAAAAAATTAAAAATCTAGTCCTAAGCATTTCTAAATTCTCACCACCTTTCAAACAAAATAAAAATGCATCTGTATTTCTGTTAATCTCATACCAGGGCAAGAGACACTCCTTTTTATCATGAAAGCTGGCTGGTTTTCCTGTTTATACAATTGTTGCTGTTTCTTTAAGAAGAGTATCTATCTCAAAAGAAAGCATTCTTTTGCTCCTCTAAGTCTTGTGTCTTTCTTCCGCCTCTTCTTCTTCTTCTTTTTTTTTTTTTTTTTTAACAGAATGAAAAAAGTTCCTGGACACCAGAACCACATATGATATTTACAAATTTGGTGTGAACCCTGCCTCTGGTTCTGCCCAGAGCTGAAGAGTGAATCTATTACAGAGATCAGAGCTGACAGGATAATTATCAAGTGCAGTAAAAAATAGCATTTAGAAAAAAATATATACCTTTAGTATTGCCTTTCTAGAATTAACTATAAGCGAGAAAAAATTATTTTTTAAAGAAGAAAAGAATACTTCTTTTTCACTCTTATAAGAGTTGGTTGTAGCAGCACTACTAAAAGCTAGTTGGTATGCTGGAAAGAAATCTAAAAGGAATTCTACTATGAATCAAAAGAAACTCCCCAGAGATTTTCTCGAAAGGTCAAACTAATTCTTCCCTTTTGCCTACATCCAGTTCAAGAGTCCCCTCTTTGCACAGCCCTCCAGCTGAGTCCCACGGTGCAGGGCTGGCGCCGGGCGACGCTGTGTAAAGGTCTTTCTTTGCACACACAAGCAGGAGACAGCTGCGGCTAACGGCTGCAAGCTCAGCTCTGGAGCTGGGCAGACCCAGATTCAAGCCCTCCTCGCCCCTCACGAGCTGCGTGGCTCCGGGCATTTTCCTCGGCTGTAGGGGGACTGATATTGCTGATCCCACAGGGCTACCGAGAAGATGAAACAGGACAACCCACGGGCAATTCCCAGCACAGTGTTTGGCACGCAGGAAATGGGAGTATCACGAAATGGTTCATAGGAATATGAGGCCACGCGTTGCTACTCATTAAAAAAGGTAAAAGATTAGAAATCACATCTCAGGAAGAGCCTGATTAACAGAAAAGGGAACCTAGCGGATTCTAGAGCATCCCTGCTTTATCCTTCCTCCAACACCTGTACCTTCCAGAGCGTCCTGTCAGCTTCCTCATCTGAAAACGGGGGCTGTTATCCCCCTCCCTGTGGGGTGGCTGTGGGGGCCCCTTGAGACAACACTCAGAAGCCTTGGCCCAGGTGTCCTGAAAGCATTCAACACATGTTGAATGGCTAATATTTACATGAGGGATGTTGCAAATTTTAACAAATAAGGGACAGTCAATGTCAGGTTCAACACAGGGATCTGAGATGAGGGGCTCTCAGAGGCTTGGGCACGTCCAGCAGCGGCATCAGGAAGACCCTCTCTGGTGCTGGTGTTCTGGGGCCTGAGCCCCACAAGGGTCATTTCTCTGCAAACTCTCACTGAGTTCTTTTCTGAACTTTAGGAATCTGCAACAAAGACATGAGAAACTTCTCCTACGCTGGGTCCGTCTAGTGAGCCACCGTGCCAAAGCCTCTAATAGGTTTCTTTTGCATTTTAATCCCATTTCACCGTCTTCCATTCTCTAGTGGCCTGAGATTGCACTGAGTCCGGTCTGTGGAGGTGAGAAGTGAGAGTTCTAAGGCATCACAGTGGGAAAATACTGCTACCCCGAGCCCAGCCCCAGTGCGCTCAATGCCTGACGATGCAGCTGAACGCCTGGCAGCTCTGCTTCGCTTGCTCCCACGGTGGCCTGGGATTAGTCAAGCCCACACATTGGTACGGTGCTCTGGTCTCCCAATCACAGCAGCATGGAAAGATTCCCCTCCACTTCTCTTAAAAGAATAGCACAGTTTTGAAATAAATGCATTTTTTTAAAAAGAAAAAGGACAGAGAGGAGAGAAAGATAAATGGAATTGCATCACTAATGGTGTCATTATTGCCTGGAAAGGAACGAGAGGAATGCCATTTTGTCCATCTCGGGAGGCGTCTCTGAGAAGGGTTCTTTGGCTAAAGAAAGGAACAGCTTCACCTTCCTTTCCAATTTGGTAAGGACATCTCTGGCCTGCTTAAGTTTGAAGCTTTCCCATCAGAAAGCTGTTAAACACATCAGAAGGAAAAGACACAGACAGGGAATGAAGCCTGCAAAGTCCCTGGGGCTGGAATGTGTTGTGGCAAAGTCACTCCTGCTGGCGCTGTGAAGTCCCAGGCTGGCCTGCAGAAGGAACCCTCGCCTCTCTTGAATTCTCTCTGCTAGTGGAGAGCACCGAGCCATTTCCTTCTTTCCATTTTCTATCCTAGCAGCTACTTGACAGGCCAGCAAGAGTGGTGGTCCCACACCCCACCCTGCCCTCAGCGTCAGACAAAGAGAACCTGGGACGAAAGCTGGGGCGAGCTGGGGCCCCACGTCGCTCTCTCAATCATGAGCCATCAGTAATACTTCCCTAAGCCTCCTCATCTCCTCCCTCCAGTTTCCAAGAAAGTTTGCTCCGCTCACTCACACGCACTCACACAGCCAAAATCTTCTACCCCAAGCTTGTTCAAATATGAGTGTTTGCCATTGCCAAGGTCCAATCCAGGGAAATTGTCCCATTGGCAGCTGGGCTGATCTCCCGTGCCCTTCCTGACATCCATCTGTCCCACACGTTGGTGCTTGGGCCCGCCAAGTCTTCCAGGTTGAAGAGGACACAGGCCAGCTGGCTGCTACAGCCTGCAAACACCTCCACTACCAGGAAGGCTAGAAAGGTTAACAGTCCAGGAGACGGACGTCGCTTTGCTCTGACCCCTCTCTTTCCTCTGAATTCCACTGACCACACGCTCCACTTCACAGTATTAACTGGCATCAAGTCTTGACTCTCCCACCCCTTGATCTGCTCACCCACTTCCCTTGGAAACATCCAAAACATCATGAAGAGGCCCTAAGCACAGAGACATGGGGGCCCACGTCCAGATGGGCCAGTCAGAACCCAGCGAGCAGAAGCAAATCGCCCTGTGGTTCACCAGGCTCCAGTTCAACACTCCTCCATGACCTGAACTTTCAAATCCTCCCCTTACTCTGAACGATGTTTCTTCAAAAGGGAAGGAGGGAGCCCACGGAAGACTAGAGGGTGCTCTAGGTGATTCATGGGCTAAGTAAGGACTAGGTTGGCATCCCTCTGCTTGAGAGGTTGGTCCTAGGGACAGCAGCCTATTTGCCAAGGTGATCCAATGGCAGATTCGGGCAGGTGTGCTGTTGAGCGTACAGGGAGCTGGTCTCTCCTGCAGGGAGCTTCTCCTAGGGCTTCTGACGTGGCAGCTCCGTGCACGGGGGTGGAGGAGGCCGTCGGGTGAGGACTAGGAGAATGTGCACTAACGTTTGCTGAGCAGCTGTGGGGCTGGCCTCGCCCGATACTTCACTTCCCTTCCCTTCAGTGAAGCCGGCCATTTCACCCTTCTTCATCTGGGGCCTAGCAGTTTGTGGGTTTGGGGACAGCGTGTGAGCACCCACCACATACAGCACAGTGTACTGAGGGGTGTGGCCGGAGCCCAGTGGGGATGCTTTCAGAGGGGGTGTGGCCTGCAATGCCTGGGCAGCTGCCGGGCTTTGTTCTGGGTTTCTCTGGCCTCTTGCCATCCCTCCATCCGTTTCCAGCTAGAATTGGGTGCTGGGAACATGTATCACAGGGGAGGGGGCAGGCTGAGGAACTGGGTGGTGTGGTGAAATTTCCTGGGAAGGTACCACCTGCCAGTCACTCTTATGCCACATTCTGTGCCCACTGGCTTCTGGAAGGGGGCAAACGTCTTTGCATTAAAGAATCTAAGCCACACCCCAGGTGCGCTGATGAGAAAAGGGTGGGTGTTTGAGGAAGGGGCTGTGGTCACCTCTGGGAGGGGATATTTTTGCTTAATATCAGAGGCAAGCCATGGATTTAGTTAACAGATTTCAGAAGCACAGGAGAGCGCCGAGGATGTGGGAGAGAAGCCAGCTAAGGACTGGGCAGTCAGTGGCTTGGCATTCCCCTGACATCACCATGAGATGTCACCTGACGTCGCATCCCAGGCCGCTGGGATCTAGAAAAGGACAACCTCGATGGTGACCATGGTGTCAGAAGCCCAATCAAGGCTTTGATTCTTCTTTCAACTTCTGTGGTGGATCTTATTGTCGGCTCTTTGTGGGATAGTGATGACAGAAACAATTTTCCTACTTCCTAAGTCTTTCCTTTTTTTTTGCCTGACAAGACTGGACATCTGGATGTCCCTCCAGTCTACTTGTACACTCACAGAGAGAATAAGTTTAAATATTAAAGAGAAAACACAAAGATACTTGGAATAAATGTGCATTTTAAACCCTGACTAAAATATCAACATGATGATCATGATCATACTTACAATGGTAATAACAAAAATAATTAGTACAATAATATTATCTTTATAAGCAGCATGGAAATGTTATTCCTGATCTGGAAGAAGGAAAAGAAAATGTCAGGTGAAAGAGTAAGAAGCCTCCAACTTAAGCAGACAAAAGAATTTTCTTTAAAATGAAAAGAACATTTCAAGCTGTCTTTCCCCCTAAAAAGATCAGATCTAGGAAGGGCTGGAACTGAACTGTACCCGGGAGTCTGGGGTGCTCTCCAGTAAGGCGGACTGAGGCTCATTTGCAGCCAAGACCTGTAACTCTGGATGAGACCTGATGGGCTATTGCTGCCATCTGGCTGCCAAAAAGTCCCTAACAGACGGATTTTCCAGGCTGACCCAGCTGTTGGGCGTCGGGGGCGGAGGAGTCTGGCTTCTGTGTCCTCCCAAGCCTTTGCTGCCCTCACCCTCTCTGAGCTGACCATTTTCCTGCAGTCTCAGAGGGCTGCATTTTCCTACCTTTGGAAAAAGATGGTATTGATCACAGCCCGAGGGAGGACATCTCTCTGCTGCTGGCCTCTTGCCAGCTCAGCCTCCAGTGGGCACCCGACAAGAATGCCCGGCTGTGCCCAGCATCGAGCAGTCATGGGGCCCTTCCTTCTTGCCGAGGCCTGGACTAAGTTGCTTCCAGTTGGGACCTATTTCTTTATAAGTAAGAATTTATGGTTGGGGTGGTGAAGTTTCCAGAGTTATTTCACAGCTAAGAGCTAAGTAACGGCGGCGCTACTGAATTAGGTTGGATATCACTACGAAAATACCTTTCACAGTAATCCTTAAGGGAGACTGCAGAGTGAGGAAGTAAAGGGTGGGAGGATGAGGATGGGGCCGCTGACTCGGGAAAGATCTCTTTGCACCTTGGAAACTTGGCTGTGGGGTCAGCTAAGGACTCAGCATCAGAAGCAAACAATTAGAACCACCCTTTTCAGCCCCATCCTTGGCCAGATTCTCCTGCCATTCACATTCACATATTTCAGAGTTATTTACTATGAACAGAGAGAACTCCCCACCTCTCCACACCTCCACCTCCAGCAGTGTCCAAAGCCTGAGAAAACTTCCAGAATACATCAAAGGTGCAAAGAGGGCAAAGGGTGGATTTCTTTGGAAATTTACCTGTGTGTTTTTCCAAAGTGCAGTGTCAGACCCCTGGTCACCCTCAAAAGTGTCCCTTCAACCTTCTGCCCACCAGAACCCTCGGAAACCAAAACCAAAATCACGTCTTGAGCAGACCTGGGTAATGTGAGGAGAGAATTCAACAGCAAACAGAGGTTGGTGGTTGTCTACAGAGGGAGGGGTCTGGCAAGATCCTTAGAGCTAAACAGCCTAGGGAGCGGGAGGAGAGAGTGGAGCCCGGGGAGTGGGGGAGGGAGGCTAAGAGCTCCAGGCTTTCGTGGCAGGAGGGATTGGGGGATGCTGCCTGGGGCGGGAGACCGCTGCCTGGGGCGGGAGACCGCTGCCTGGGGCGGGAGACCGCTGCCTGGGGCGGGAGACCGCTGCCTGGGGCGGGAGACCGCTGCCTGGTGAGGCCAACAGTCCCGAAATCTCTGACCTTGCAAATGGCAGAGCTGGGGATGGAGTGGGGCAGGGGTGAAGTGTGGGGAGTCTCTTTGGGCCTCCGCCCACAAAGTACAACTCAACTACCGCCATCCCCATCTCCAGACGCACCCGCCTGGCATCTGCCTCCCACATCTCTTTCAAGATCGACGGACTCTCTCCTAGCTCTTGCCGGCTTCCCTGGCATCCTTCTGCTAGCAAACGGCCCAAGAGAGATAATGGGCCTTAACATTTTTAAAAAAAAAAAAAAAAAAAAAAAAAAAAGGAAAGGCCAGAGTAAACTGTTACAACAGCAGAACAGAAGAGCTGAGATTGTGTCTGACTAGCCTCAGTTTCTTGGAGTACCAGTGGAAGTAAACCCTCACGCCGCGTCTATCGCTCGGTAAGGCACTAGGAGGGAATGATGCAGTTTCGAGACTGCGCCAGCTGGGGTGGCGGCGCCAAGGGGCACACGGGGAGCGCGGCGCGCACACCCACCCGCGCTCGCCCGCTCACCGCACGCCTGCACCGCCACATTGGTTACATGCCTATGTTATATCGCTTTTTTTTTTTTGTGCAATTACATTGAGGAATATTCTATTGGTATCATTGGAGTTGAACACAGGTAGGAGACAAGGGTGCCGGGTGCTACATTCTACTAGGGTGTCCGTGACCACCGCTAGCCCTACGCGACGCGACAGGGGCGGATTCAGAGAGAAAATACATTTTCAGAAAAGAAAAAAACCTAAAGTTTGCAACACACATTATTGACATTTG